TGCCTTCAACAATCTTAGGTTACCAGTAATCAGATTAACTGCGTGAAGTGAATCACCTTTCGCTCTTCATCTATAAGATGACGGTAAGAACTTACAGCTCAAAGAACGTTGAGAAATAGGATGTTTGAATTAAAAATCTGGACAACTGCGTAGTGTGTACCTGAGACTGGCAGCTAGAATAAAAAGGCATACCAACAAGCCTCAGATTTCAGTATTTGAAGCTGGCATTCTTACCTAAGTTTTATCCAGAAATTCATTTTCATCGCGATCGCTGTCAATGAGATTTTCAACTTTGACCTTTTCTATCTAGTTCTCCCGCGCTAGACATTGGAATGCCAGATTTCTGCCTTTTAAGACTTTTCTATGAATCATGAAGAGCTTTATGGTTTGAAGTAGGCGTCTCTGTAAATCCGCCTGCGCAACATCTTGAAAGGTTTACAGCGCTTAATGCAAAATTACTTTGCGACTAGTCTTAAGTATTTATTCCTATTTCACTCGTTTCACATGCTAACCGAACTGCTTTTTGGCTCTTTTCAAAATGCTCTGATGTCGTCTTCTACGTTATAAACCTCTGGTAAACTTGCTGATTTGCTTATGGCTCAGTTATTTCAACACGTTACCTTCAACCGGTCATGGTGGACTCGATAGACCATCGCGTGGACATTGCCAATCTCAGAGAGGAAGATCGTCAAGTAGGTCTTGACGACACTCCAAACCTCCGTATATAAAACCTGATTTCCATTTTTTTGCAGGCGCTTGAGAAAGGCTACGATGATCGCGGGCGAATATACATAACGAAAATCCGCGACTCGGAGGCCGGTGGATTGCACAGCGTAAAACACGAAGATTACTTTCATGGCTTCATGCCTAAAGAGCAGGTATTTTCGAAGCTGGTGACGCCATTAGGCTGAAAAGATACACTTCGGTCGAATCTCATCAACGACCCCGAAGCGGGCATACATCACGCAATTTCATCGCCTCGCGATTCACACGACATGATAACTGTTATTAATCCATTGCATGCCGATCATCTTGCATTTCGGTGTGATAGTTTTCCGAGTCGTCTGATCGCGAACAACTATCACAACCGAAATGCGAGATGAACTGCATGCAATGGACTCGTAACGGTGTCTTGTCTGGAAAAGCAATTGCTGATTCTAGCTGTTCTTGTCTCACAATCAGCTG